CCAAAAAAGGAAATTTTGAAAAAATGTGAATTAGCAGAAAAAGTTTTTTTAAATATAAAACTATTTACAATTGTTCTCTATTATCCAAATTATTAATTTATAGCATTTCTTGACTTTTGTTTCTATTAAAGTGAAGAGCTATAAATTTTGTCTCTCAAAAATGGATATAAGTGATCTGTAAAATTTTATATACTAAATACTTTAGGAACCTATTATTATTTATAAATGTTTTTACTTAAAAACTTGACTTATAATAATCAAAAATGTCAAGTAACATCTTTGATACCAATGGCAAGAAAGTTTTTACAAAAAAAAAAATCAACTATAAAATATTTAAAGATTTTTCAATCTTTGAAATAAAAGATTATAGAGATTTTTTATAATAAATAAACTTATTTTCTTTTTTTTTGACTGTCTTGATTCTCTTATAACTTTTATTTTTATAATTTTTTGCAAAAATTTTTTTATTTCAATTTAATTCTAAATTTTGATAGTATAAATTTATATTAAAAATAATTGATTAATATAAAATATATTAATTTATAAAATGCAAATAAGTATTTATAGATTAAATTTATTGTTCTAATAACTTCAATAATAATTAAAAAGAAAATTTTAAAAATTATTCTTCTCCAAAAGTTTAAAGTCCTTAAAAAATAACCAAGATATCAAAAAGCAAGAGATAAATAATATAAATTATAAAACTTTATTCTTCTTAAGTTTCTTAGATCATAAAAAAACTTTTTTGATTAGAAACCAAAATCTTTAAATTTCTTTAAGCTATTTTAATCTGATATTTATTTAAATAATAAATCTAATTGAATTAATATGTTTAATACTATAGATTATAATAAATAAGATCTCTTTCAAGATTTTAGTAATGTTGTTTAGTTTATAGAATTTTTTGAAAAAGCTTGAATTGTATTCCTTTTTCTTTTATTTTTTACTTCTCCTTATTAATTTAATAATTTATGATTTTTAGGCAACTATAGTAATAAACTATTGATGATGAACCTAAAAAATAAAGGTTTATATCAATTCTATAAAAGAATAAAATAATAAAATAAAAAAGAAATTTAAAAATCTAATAAATTAATATTGTATGTTAATGTTAAATTTATTTTATAGAAGTAAATCGATTAATCAAAAAATTTTGCAAAGGACTTGAAATAGTACAATTAAAAAGGTGTTTGTAAATAGAACAACAGATCACTTTTAAAGTTTCACTTAGAATCAAAGATTTGATAGAAATGAGTAAGATTGTTTAATAAAGTACATATACTGTAGTTAAAATAAAGAAAGAGAATTTCCATTATGTCGAGGTTTAATCAACTATGTACTATATGCACATTCAATATCGAAATTCCGTTATATCGAGTTGTTAAAAAAATTAAAAATAAAAATTTTGTAGAACATTATTGAGTTAATTAAAACAAATGAAATATAGTGCGTAGGCAGTAGACCTCTAATCTAAAGATTTGTTTTTTAAAGCTAAAGAGAGCAAAAAAGATTGATACAAGTAGTATCGTAAAACTAGTACTGTACATGAATAATAACTATATTAGGTTGACAAGCCTTGTTTTAACCAATCAGACATCGAAATATATGCTTTTTATCAACGCGTAAATCCACAATTCGCGACGTGTTTCTTTCGAAACAAACTAATTATGCCAAAGTCAAAAAATAAGACAAAGCCTTTAAATAGCTCTTTGAGCTCTTACTTTCCATTTGTCCCTGGTAACGAAAGAAAAAATGCGACAGCAATCGCCACGGCTTCATTGGAAAATCTGGTTGCCCCTCAAGAAAAGCGAGTAGTCCCTAGAAAGAAGTTTACGAGTATTAATTCAAATACACGTCGTGTAGAAATTTCCGTACAAAGAGAGTCAGAGGAAATAAAAAGTAAAGAGGAAAGTTCTTTGGAAATAACGAAGAGAACGTTGAGTCCGCGTGCAATTCAAGACAACGTTTCTTCGATAAAAAAAGAAGAGAATGAAGATTGTGACGTTAAATTAAACTTTCAAAATGACGATACTTCATTGAAAAAAGACGAGAGAGATCAATGCTTCAAGAAGAAAATAAACCTATTAACTTTACAAGATGAATCTTATGATTTTATGTCGGATGAAGAAGTGTGGACCGATAAGACGAAGGAAAGATGGCGAAATATGCAACGCGTTTCTTACTCCGTTGACGACTACTCGTTGGAGACAGTTTCTGAAGAATTTCCTTTAACCGAAGAACAACTTAGAGTATATCATTTGGTGCTGAATTCCCGAGATTCGTTGTTTTTTACGGGATCTGCAGGAAGTGGTAAAAGTATGCTTCTTCAAAAAATCATTGCTGCACTAAAAAAGAAGTTGGGGAGTGATTCCGTAGCAGTTACTGCGCCAACGGGTGTAGCGGCAATAAATATTGGTGGAAATACGTTGCATTGGTTTGCTGGGATTGGAAAAGGAGATGAAAAGGAAGATGCGCTTATTAAAAAAGTCAAAAGAAATATAACAGCAAAAATGAGATGGACCAGGGTTGAAGCTCTTATAATCGACGAAATCTCAATGTTGGATGGAGTGTTGTTTGATAAACTTGAATCTATCGCAAGGAATGTTAGGAATAGCACTCTTCCATTTGGGGGCATTCAAGTGATCGTCACTGGTGATTTTTTCCAACTACCTCCGATATCAGATGGCAACAATGCCGTCAAGTTCTGCTTTGAGGCAAATTCTTGGGGCAAATGTATCAAACATACAATACAATTAACCCAAGTCTTTCGTCAGAAGGAAATGGAACTGATAACGATACTTAACGATATGAGGGTTGGAAAGGTGACACCAAGTTCTTCGGAACTCATTAAGAGACTGGAATGTGAACCTGACTATCCGGATGACGGAATACTTCCTACAGAGTTATTTCCACGCAATGTTGAAGTAAACAACGCGAACCTAGCGCAATTAGCAAAAATAAAGCATAAATCGTATTCTTTTTACGCTAAAGATTGGCAGCCAGATAGGTTTGGGCAGCTAGACAAGTTAGATAAGAATTGCTTGGCCCCGAAAGTGTTGACATTGAAGAAGGACGCCCAAGTGATGCTGATCAAAAATTTGAATAAAGATTTGGTAAACGGCTCTAGAGGCGTGGTAATTGGTTACCAGTCAAACTCCACCGAACAACAATTTTTAAATGGTGAAGATGAAGGATTGCCGGTAACGGACATAGAACCTATTGTAAAATTCGACAACGGACATGTGATAGTTGTAAAAGAAGCCGAATGGACCTTAAACGGAATGGGCGATACGATATTGGCAAGGCGTCATCAAATCCCGCTGATTCTTGCGTGGGCAATTAGTATCCACAAAAGTCAAGGACAAACCTTGGCTCGCGTTAAAGTTGATCTCACCAGAGTTTTCGAAAAGGGACAGGCCTACGTGGCTCTATCCCGAGCCATCTCAATCAAAGCGATTCAAGTAGTTGGCTTTAATGATAGAAAAGTGATGGTCCATGAGAAGGTTAAAAACTTTTACAAATCTCTTCCCGGGGTTAAAAATGAACAGGACGATCAGGGGTCATCACCCGAAAATTCCGATCAAATGTTGAAATCAAAGACTCAAGAAGTAGGCTGTGGGAGCTCTTCTTGTTCGGTGAATAATGAACCTCCCCATCCAACGGTAAAACGCGAGCCGGACGAGAGCATTTGTTCAGTAGATATTAAACCTTATCTAATGCATAAAACGGTAAAACGCGAGTTGGACGAGAGCATTTATCCAGTAAATAATGAACCTTCTCATACAATGCATTCAACGGCAAAACGCAAGTTGGACGACGAGAGCACCATTTGTTCATTGGATATTTCCCATCCGAAAGCCAAACGCAGGAATCTGAAACTGAATTGGGGAGATGAAGTTGGACGTTTTTCGGATGATAAATAGTTGCTTGATAAATAAATCACGTGTCAATGGTATGCAAAAAAATTTTTTTACACGCTA